TCGACAGTTGGACAGGATCCTGCCAGAGAGTCCTGCCCACACACACTCGCACACTCGCAAGTCGCAGGCAGGCAGGGGGAAAAGTGAAAAGGGAGCCAGAAAATAAAAACTAATTCACTTCTTGTGCTTCAGAGTGCGCTCGTTTCCTGTCCTGTCGTCAGCAGATTTGCATAACTTTTTCCAATTTGAAAGCTCAAGCTGTGGCCAAGGCATACGTATGCTATATATTTATATATCTATATGCAAACGCCGCACCACGGCCCTCAATCTCATCCCCATCCCCGTCCTCATCCTGCGGCCATCTCCGGTTACAGGCGTCGTCATCGTGGCGCTGACGTTGCCCAGGCTGCTTCTTATTTACGTCAATTGCTTGCGCATTCGCTTAGCCCTTATCCAGATACACTCAGCGGAAAGGGATCAAGGTTGTGCTACTTTGTAAAATATCTTCAGGATCTGGCACTTTATCACACTTCATAGCCTCCTTAGGAACAATCTGATAGAATCAATATAAATCTTATAAATTTGTTTAATTCCCTGAACATATTTTCTTATTAATTTTGAATATGGCTCGGAGTTATGGAGTATTTTTCCGTGTGCATGAAACTACGTGGATAAAGGATGAGGGGATATAGAGAGTGGGGAGAGAGGAAACCCATCAAGAGGATGGGCCACTGAATGCGAGAGTTTTCCTCCTGCGTGGGCATTAGGTGTCAATTTTCAGCGTGGCAGCGAAATGCTCGGGAAATCGCTGAAATTTGCCTGGCAGCCAACTCAATGGAATGGATGAAATTGTTGGGAGTACGGGGGTGGGGGTGGTGGGGTGGTAGAGAAGTTGGCCAAGGAGAAACCACTGAATTTCACTGGGGTCTACTTGGATTACCAATTTGATGGCAACACTTGAAGTTCGGCAGCACGTGGAAATGAAAGTGTACAAGTTAATGGCATTCCAAGCCGAACAAATTAATCTCAGGAAATTTAAGAAACACTTTCTATGCTCTCGAATACTGTGTTTCACAGTTGACTACACTCAGACGTTATTACTGGCTTAATGAGCAATTACAGGAGTGTTAATAACGAAACTCATTTCGTCCCAGAGATGTTTGCAATTTCAATGTAACCGAAGTCCTACTTTAATGTCTTCCAGCAGATCGAGTTCAGAACTTATATCTAAAGAAAAACTAATTTTTAGTAGTATGTGGGATATGGGTATGTTAAGGTATTAAGTAGCCTTTTTAATTTCATATGGGGACACACTGTTCGGAATTCCACAACCTCGTAGCTTTTTTCCATCAGCCAAAGCTCCATATAGAACTGCCTCCTTTCATCAAAGAATGTCTATACCCATCACCCTCTTCCTAATAGAAATTCCGCCTTACTAATTTAAGTTGAAGTCAGTCGATTTCGAATATTGAAGAGAGCAAGTGTCATCCATAGAGTGCGAAAGTCGTGAAGTTTTATACAAAACCTTTGTTTCTTTAATTTACTTTTATATATATCCGAAATAAACATTATCAATTTGTACTACCCTACAAGTATCTTTAGTTATTTTCTAGAACAGGAACTTAAAAGCATTTTATACTAAAATAAGGACATCTTCAACTCAAAATCAAGGGCAAGACTTGTAATTTGAGGCTTCTGTTACTACTTTGTATCCATCTTAGTAGTAAACTTTGGGATTCGGCTTTACTTGTATCTGATTTTCTAAACAAGATTATGTACATCCCCTTTTCAGATAATTAAATTACTATTTTCCATTTCGAACATATTAAAAATAATGCACAGGCCACTGATTCGACGTGAACCGAAATAAATTTAATTTCAACATCAAAGCCTGCCATATCTTCGGCTCAGATTTGAATGCCCATTGATAAGACATAATTTAAAGTGCAGCCGTCATTACTCGGCTCTCCTTCCCATCTCATCCGAAGGATCATCCCCTGTGCCGACGCCCCGGGGCAATCTCCCATTCGTGACCAATCAATAGTTCAATCCCAATCACGGAGAGCCAGCAGAAACTTCATCAGGCAAGTCATAAAATTTAATTAGAAAGCATTTCGCCGGCGAGAGTGACTCGAAGCAGGAATACAAATACAAAAATCTCCTTTATTGTTTTATGGCTCTGCAAAGAGAAACGAAATAAAATGAACGACGGCTGGACCTGCGGAGGGATATCCTACGAATGGGCAGAACTGCTGAGTTCCAGGGACAGACAGGAGTCGGGCCAACTCGTCGGGGAACAATTTAGGCGGCAGCAGGTGCGAATGAAAGGACTCGGCCGAGGATAAGTCGGCGGCGATGTCTTGGAGCGGGAAAATCAATCGTGCAGCAAAATCAAAGAAAATGTACATGGCCGCCCACCAACATAAGGATATGCACTGGCCGACGAGTTTTGGGTTCCTTATTCGGAACTAAAACTGTTGATATTCCTAATATCAAATTTGACTTACAATAGAAGTTTCTATTGCAAAATACATATGAAATATATAAACAATTTTGGATTTATAAATCTGATCTAGCATACCCCACTTATCCTTTAACTTTTCGAGGCTTTCCCTTCAGACTTGGAAAACCCATTCCCACCGTGCACGTACATAAAAATTCGTTTTTATTTTCCTTTCTTCTCCGAGTTTTTTATTTAACAGCAAATTTGCGCAGCGCGTTGAAACGGGGGCGTGTCGCCGCCCCACGCCAGAAACGCGTTTATCAAAGTCAGTTCCCGAGGGTGGATTCACAGCTAAATCGAAGTCTGGGGGAGGGGGCGAGGCAGGTCCTGGCATCGTTACCGTTAGACGGCGGCTCCTGCTGTCGCTCCTAATGTGATACGCATCAATTTATGAAATTTGAAATATTATGACTGATTTTGCGCGTCTCAAATGCGGCTTTTATGTGGGTTCGGTTTCGGTTTGGGATTCGGGTTCGAGCTCGGTCCTAATCTGGCCAACAGGTCAGGATGTGCGATACGCAGGGGTTGTCAGCAGGACGAGAGGCTTAGGTGGAAATGCTCGCCCAATACAGCACCCTCGGAGCATCACTCACACGACGGGCTAAGTAAATTGAAGTAGCTGCGACAATCACAAAGGGCCGGCAATGAAGCGAGATTTCTATTTTTATGACAACGCCAAACAAAGAGGCGATTTAAAGCGAAGGACGGAGATCTGATCAGGCAGGGTAGATGCTTCCATGCAAGGCACTGGCCAGAAACCCCAGACCATGTCAGTTACCCAAACAAAAGACGCCGAACACGACTGACAAAAAACAATTGCATCAGCTGGAATTTATGTATAATTTTCAATCTTCAATGATTCCCGGGACTCTGGGAATGATTACCAGGACTCTGATTAATGAGAACCGACTACCAACTGACCATTTTATTCAGGACTTAATGCTTACAAAAGGGATTAAAGATAGCACCATTAGAACGACCTTAAATAAAAGGTTCACTTTTAAGTTCCTTATTGTTAGAGCAAAAATGTATGCTGAACTCCCTGATATTCCTTTCAGTCCGCGAAGAGAAACGAAATATACAGAGTGAAGTTAAGTTAGTTAAACCAACGCAGTTCAAATTTACTTTTAGGATCTCAAACTCCCCTTAATAATAGGCGCGAAAGCTACTGCCTAATATTAAACTAACGTAATAACTTAATAAAGACGGTGATATGTGGTAATACAGAGAACTGTAATCGATTTCTTTTAACAATGGACGACTTAAGGATTATAACTATCCCATAGTTACACAAAATCTGTAAAATTACTGCTGATTCCCTAATGTGGAAATTTATGTTTTGGTAAACTTGTCTTTCAGAAAATTGGTAAGTTCACTGAGGGAGCTGGGTGGCAAGACATCCTTAGAAAAATTCGCATCTGTTTCAATAAGTTTGCGAGCATTTGATTTTCAGAAAAAGCCTCGCTTGTTATTAAAAGTTCACTAAACTGGGATTCATTGTTTCACGAAGAATTGGCATTAAAACAAGAAGAAACGCTATATCGATTGCGGCGACTATAAGATACCCGTTACTGTTTTATACAATTTTAAAATATTCATTTTGCTAGTGGAAATTCACAAAGCGACACCTTTTGTCAGAGAAAGAACGTTGAGTAACTGATGGTGCCGTCACTGTCTATGTGAGGCCTTATAACCCACATTTCTTAATAAAAATCGAAATAATTTTCCGATTTGAAAAATCTTTGGTAAAACGATAGAAATAGTATACAAAGTCAAGTGAAAGCAAACACTTTGATATTATGGACTCTACAGATTTCCGCGGTTTGTGGGCGTTAGAGTGGGCGTGACTTGTGCTGCGTAGGGACCTCAGAAATCTGCCTGCTTAATCTCAACTCTGTAACTCTTATAGTTCCTGAGATCTCAGCATTCATTTGGGCAGACGGAAGACGAACGGACAGACGGACATGGCTTAATAGACTTCGCTATTTATACTGATCAAGAATAAGTATATATAATATATTCTTTATCAGTATCAATAGGGTCGGAAACGGTTCCTTCTACCTGTTACAACCTTTTCAACGAATCTAACATACCCTCTTACTCTTCGAACAACGGCTATAATAAGTTACTCAACATAATTATTTATAAAATATGATCAGAGAAAAAAGAAACGCCAAAGTTGAAGAATATTAAGAGAGAAATATAATAGCATATTAGTCAATATCTGAAGTGGAGTATTTTAAATTGAAAGCAAAATATTTTATACTTTATACTTTAAAATCTTTTACTCATTAATTTTAACAAATTAGTAATTAATATTTCGCAAAACTTATTTAGAAAATTCTTGTTCCCTATTTTCAAGTAATATTCTGCGACACCTAGCGGACGTTTCCTGTACCTGAAGTTTTACATGAATGTTCGGAGTGTGTACTCGCTAGGATAGATGGGTGTCCTAACTCATTCTGGACTTGTGATTGCAACATAAGAAGGTGTATTTGCTAAGCCAGACGGGCGAGCTTAATGCCAAAGATATCGATAGTTCCGAATTATCGAATGCTTGATCAGCTGTTACTTCTGACTAATATTTTCTATTATTTTAACAAAGTGCAGTTGATTAAATTTTAAGGCCATGCACGGACGTGTTAAAGTGAGGACAACGGAGGAGGAGCGGGAGAGGAAGAAGAAGGAGCAGGCCCTGAAAGTCCGGGCCTATCGAGCCGCCATGGGAAGGATTCAGAAGAAAAGGGAGGCGGGTGAGCTGGACAATGAAATGCTCACTCTGACTGTGCAGATCCTGCAGCGAAATCCGGATGTCAGTACGCTGTGGAACATTCGCAGGGAGTGCGTGCTGGAGAAGCTGGCCAAGTTAAAGGAGGAGGAAGCCAAGGAGGAGAAGCCGGCTGAAGAAGAGCATCAGGTGAAGACGCCTCCTGAAGACAAGTCCCATTCCATATTCACTTGCGAACTAGACCTCACCGAGCAGTGCCTTATGGTCAACCCCAAGTCCTACAACGCGTGGCACCACCGCTGCTGGACCCTGGAGCAGAACCCCCAGGCGGACTGGCAACGGGAGCTGCAGCTGTGCAACAAATACCTTAAGTTCGACGAGCGCAACTTTCACACTTGGGACTATAGACGTTATGTCACCGAGAAAGCCGCTGTGCCTGCGGCCCAGGAGCTAGACTTTTGCACCGAGAAGATCAAGGTGAACTTCTCCAACTACTCCAGCTGGCATCACCGGAGTCTGCTGCTTCCAGAACTATATCCCAACGAGCAGAGGGATCGCCCCATGAGCGAGGAGAAGCTGCAGCAGGAACTGGAGATGGTGCTAACGGCCGCCTTCACCGATCCCAACGACAGCAGTGCCTGGTTCTACCAGCGATGGCTGTTGGGCAGTGGCGCCCAGCTCGACCGGGCTCCCAGGATAGCTGCTTTTCGGCTGGAGTCCAACCTAGCAGTACTTGCCTTAGACAAACCCTACTCAGATCTAAAACAACTGAAAACCGAGCTGGTTGGCGGAGAGAAAACAGTGCTATTGCAATCCTGGCTGCCCGTGGATAACCTAGGAACCAGTTGGAAGTGCCAGCAGTCGTTCAATTACCAAAGAAACACAACCTACTCGCTTAAACTTTCCGATCAAGAGGTAACCCTCTTACCTCTTCCTAGCACCGAAGATGGAGCCTTTTACTTCGCGCCTCCACATGCTACCACCAGTTGCAGCAAGGAACTTCTTGCGGAGCTGCAAACGCAGCTGCAATCCTGCCTAGATCTTTTGGAATTCGAACCCGACAGCAAGTGGACTCTCCTAACAAGTGCCCTCCTAATGCGTGCCATCGATGTGTCACCCAACCATGAAAAGAGTTTGGAACACTTGGTCAAGCTGGAAAAGGTAGATGCTTTGAGGGAAGGATACTACAAGGACCTAGCCGCCAGGTGGTCTTTGGAGTCGGAATTGGCGAAGTGGCCAACAGCTTCGGGATATCCAAATACCTTTTCATTGGCGGACGACGTACTCCTGACATCACTACCTTATGCGCAATACCTTGTCATTGCCGATGTGTTGAACATTTCCACCAATCTCAGGGAGAAGCTGGGAGATTCAGTGCCCAAAACATTCGCAAACTTGAAGTTACATTCTTAGACTAGACTAGCTAATCGGGAATTTCAATGTTATTTTAATCGGTTTCCATTAGATAATCTAATATTTTCCATTCGGTGTGTACTGAGTCTACACTTAAGCGATTGGATATTCTGAGAAAAACTTGAAACGATCTAACTTTCAATTAGGAATTATTCCTTTTTATAAATACATTCTTTTTTATGAATATCCTGTTTTATATAAACATAATACCCTAGTAAGGTATGCATTATACACAAAAGTGATTGAATTTAAAATATACGAATAGCAAAACATTTAAGTTAGTTTTTCTGCGCGTTTAATTTTAAAACCTTTTCCAAATTTTCAACCTATTTGCGGAGAATACAATACTTTGCTTATTTCCATTATCGAATCAATTTAAAGTCTTGTTTTAACCGAACGCCATTCCGCCACAAACACATAAAATATGTTTGCAACTGTTGAAAGTGAGGAACTCGACCAAAATCGCTGACAACCCGCAGCCATCCATTATCGAATGTTTCGGGTTATAAATGGAAAAACCATCAATACGTCGACATGCAACCACCGGCTACTTTAAGCGGTCCCAGAAGCTGCCACATTGCTGAGGCATTCTTTGACATTGCAGCCATGCAGCGATGTTGGTGTTGCTACTGTAGTTGCTGGTGCTGCTGCCACCGATGTCGCCTTGTGTGTGCAACGAGGCGCTGCGAGATTTGCGGTTTTTTGGCGGCTCTCGTGGTTATATAAATTATGCAAGGCCCTCGAGATGGAGATGCTCTGCGACGGGATGGCGATGGCGATGCGAAGCGAGGAGCTCAATGCGCGTCCACAACATTGGCAGCCGCATGTCATTACGTGCCGCAGCTGCACAAAAGCAACTCACTAAAAGAAAATGTTTCCAGAATTTAGAAATCAAGAAAAGTACTTCATTTTGGGTGGCGTATATATTGTTAACTTTAAGCTTGATCTTGAATTATATTGAACTTATTGCAATCTCAAGACTACAAGAGAAGGTTACTGAAATAGGAAAATGTTTTTGTAGGCTTACTCAATTGGTTATGTCTTGCTTATAACAGAGAAAAGATGTAGCATGGATGGATGGATGTTTAAATTACATATTGTCCTAGAACATATATATCTCAATCATATTTGGTTCCATATATCTGCAGATATTTTGAAGTTATTTGCATATTTATAATATATATCTCTGATTTCAAGATGATATCCGGAAACTATGGGAGCTGAGGGTTATGTACAGTCATGAGCATTCAGGGACACATTATCATTGCATTCATAAGCTCATCTTGAAGAACAGTGCAGATTTTTAATAGCTGGACTAACAGTGGGAGCTTCTTCAAACAAATGGTTTATCAAATCTCAGAATATGCGCAATTTATATTCTGATGATGTGACATTAAAAATCTTTTTAGTAAAATGGGAACTTAGCTGTAAGATTAAAGTTCTATTTGAGAAGTACCAGGCGAAAATTTAAGTCAATATATGGCACATCTTCAGGGTTGAGAGGCCCGCTTGAAACAAAAAGCAATTTTCGGACAAATTCAGAGTAGTTTTGTCAGGTGCACCGGGCAGCAGGAGTGGGCGGAGAGGGAGGTGGGAGGACATTCAAGACGGAGGAGCGTTTGACAGGCGTGTGAAAGGCCGCCAGACGTGCCAGAAGGAGCGGAGCTGCTCGGGGATGTCATTCCCACTTGGGTGTTAATACACGCTCGCAAGTCCTACAGCGGTGAGGGGGGGACACGAGGTGCAGCTGTCACCTGGCAGGCCGCACCGGCACACATGTCGTATACGCAATGTTTGTGCATGGGAATTTAATGGAGCCGAGTCATGTGGATATATCCTGCTGCATATCATATTAACATTAGCAGACGCCTTGGCATTCAAATTTCCGCCTCACTCAGCCGGCATCACATCCGATGCTCTGTAGCATGCCCCTTGGCTGCAGCCCGTGTGCCAACATAATCTTAATTACGCCAATGCCATTTCTTGCAAATATTTTGCGTTGACTCTCCGGCTCTTGGGCTCTCCGTTCCGGAAAACGTGACGCTGACAAGATGCCGCTCATTAAAATGTTTGGGGCCAATTATTAAGTCAATTGCACGACCAAAAGGGAGAGGCAGTGGGAGTGGGAGTGGGAGTGGCATGTTGAAGCTGCAACTGCATCTTATCTGAACGCCCAGAGTCGCAAACTTAATTAATGGGACAAGTCAATGGGAAAGGTCAGGAAACAAGTCGGCGGCAGCGGAAAGGGAGCAAAGGAGATGGATGCGCGTCAAGATGCAATCTTGTTGGTGGCCTAATTTATGCTTTCTGGCTGATTGCTTTACTTTCGTTTTAAGGTTTATTTTAAACTTAGGTATATATTAACTGATTCATATTCGAGTCCTAAGGGGTATGAAGGGAAAGCTCTCTAATTGATAAACTAAAAGTATTCGCAATTTGAATGTTCATATTAAAGTTTCCCAACATAAATATTGATTTACTTTGTTTAAACTTTCAAGGCGGCAAAGGGATTGTAACTCCAATTATGTTTGTCCCTGTTGCCCCAAAACATTTCTTTTGTTTCAGTAAATTGCTTCAGTATACAACATTTTCACAGTAAGGCTTCTAATTTACCTATGAAAACAAAAAAAATGTATGACATGAAAATAAAAGCATATGGATGATTTCCTTTTGTTCTGCACAAAATTTGTAATTTTGAGAGAAGAGCTAGTAAATCAGAATCAGCCACTTCTAACATATATTGCTTGTGCATCGACCAGGGTACTTCAGGCTTCAGTGGCCCTAATAGCACGCTCTCGCCCAACTGAAATTGACTCGAAATTTGTATTTGTTTACCGAATTCCAGTCCCTGCCCTACGTAACCAGATTTACTTGCCACATATCTTCGAGCGAGTCATGTGAGTCGCCCCAGCACTCATAATTTATACGCTTTTCCATGGCAACTACTGTTGCTTTCCTCTCCCTGTTTTTCTCTTAAATTATGTTTATATATTGCCTGAGTCTCCTGCCCCCGCCGCTCCGCCGCCTCTACAATCTGAAAATGCCCTTTAGCCCAGACAATGCACACAATACACATGTTTCAATGCTAGACAGTTTTTAGACGTGATAATGCAAGTGGAAAATCAGAAAAATATATTGTGGCTGCCTTGCCAGTCACCAGCAGTAGACGTCGCAGTAGGGAAAACAAAGCAGACCAATGCTCGGAAAAGAATGCTTCAGATACTACGATTACACCTGGAATAATTTTACTGAAAATTAATGCAAAATTTAGAACAATATATTAAATTAACTTAAAATAACTTTTCCTGGAAGCTAACGAGCCTTTAATATGTGAGTTTAAAATTGAAAAGAAGCATATTGAACGGCGAGCTAACTTTTTGGTGAGTGTCGTTCGTGGATCCCTGGCCAACCCATAACCATATGCAACATAATAATTTTCGTTCCGGCTGCTCGCCTCATTGGGACGTGTAGAATAAACTATAGAAGAGGGGCATGGAATGATTTCTGTCTGCAGCTGTCACATAATGTTAGCTCGAAGGATCTGTCTCGGGTGTCCTGCATGCATGAAAAACTCATTACGAGCAGCTGCAGCTGCGGTCACCCGAGTTTCCATCCACCATTCAGTGCTTGCCTATCCTTGAGCTCTTGATCCTTAAATAAGTTGCGGCAAATTGGCTTGCCGTCGGCCAATTGAATATCCGCATCGATTGGCCTTAGACGCCTCCGCCTCCGCCAGCGCCTGCACTTTTAATTGCATAACACATAGTTTCACGCTTCTTGCTTACACTTCACTTCACTGCCGAGCAACTTGGCAGGGCGAAAGTTCGCTTTAACAAGTGAACAACTTTCAATGGGCAATTAAAAGGGCATACAAACCGGGGACAACAACGGTCGTTGAGGCGAGAGGTCGGCGGAGAGGTGAGGTGAGGGCTCCGACCAGGACGTCACCAGCGAGAAGTCACCGGAAATGTTAACAAAATGCATAGCAGCACAGATTCTGCTAAAGTTTTCGCCCCGAAAGGCAATTAAAGTTTTGGCACCGACACAACACAGAAACAAGTTCTGCACAGACCGAAAACATTCTTGTTTTTTGATTTTAGTTCTTATGGAATTAAGTTTGTGGAGTTGCGGTGTTGAGCCATACAAAATATTATACATAAAAATTAGATTCCATCTCTGACATACATAAATGATTAATTAATCAAAAATAAATCAGAAAATGGGTATATCAACGAGGATTTAAATCACTTTTAAGTTGTTAAGTCTCCCAAAAAGCACAAAGTTTTCCCTCTGTGTTGAGTTTACGAAAAAGGCCACCGCAGGATGGTGACTCTATGATCCTTGGCGGCTGATTCCCCAGTTGACGCAGCTCCGGCCATAAATGTTAGCCCCAAAATACACCAAGATCCTGCGATTGCGGATCTGCAATTAAATTTTATTAATTTACGGCGCATGAACCCGGGAACGGAAGCCTCGCAGATATATTAAACATCGTTAAGCATTATGGTTGGTGCCCCTAACTCGAATAACTTATTAAAATTTACGCTCAATTCAGCCAGAACATGACGCCATCAAAGCCTGAAACCAATGACGTCACCACACACGCCCACGCAGAAGCAGCTGTGATGAGGAGGAAGAGGGGGTGGCACATAAATTGGATATTTATGCACTATAAACATTAATTTACTTGCCATTTAGCTAGACGCGCAGTTAATTGAAAACAACAATATCCGAGGCACTGCAGCAGAAGCAGCGGCAACATCAAACGCCCCCTGCCCCGCCCCGCTGCAAGCATTTTGCAACAGCGGCAGCCAAAGCAAACAACTTTAAATTATGCAAAGAATAGGAAAATGCAGCGTACGAAATTTGCAGCCATCATTAAATTTGCGCAGGCGGCGAGGAGGTGGAAAACAGCAAAAATGCAAAGGGTTTTAAGCAGGGAAGTAATGCCAAATTTAATTGCAATTAATGTGCAGTAAGGCGGAAGTGCCATAGAAACGGGGCAACGCGTCCATTGCTGAACGGGCTGGCACTTCCGGTTGGCTCCATGTTCGAGCATGCTCCATGTCGCAGGGGGGGAATGGTTGACCAAGGGAGAAGGGGGAGAGGGCTAACCCGATACTCGTGGTAACTCGAAAATGTAAGCTAGAATGCTCTTCTCGGTCCGACCCCAGAGATTAAACTAATTGGGTTAACCCGCAAAAGTATGCTGTGGGTTTTTCAGCAGGTGTGTACTTTGTCTACTTTCTGTATTTACTTACTACTCCATACCGGAAAAGGAGCTGAAGCTCAAAATGAAAAAAGGGATACTGTCAAATATAGAAATATCGAAAAATATACTCATTTCATATATTTATATAGGACACTACTCAGACTAATAAGCTACTTACTCTTCATATTCAAATCGTTAAGCACTAAATTACAGATTACTTAACACTTATATTATTATTATATACATGATTAGAATATTTAAACCAAGCAAAATAGTTTGAGATATATAAAAATAAATGCTTTCAGTTATAATTAAGGTTTATAATTATTTTTGTAGTTGCTGTGTACTCTCTCGTAAATCCTCGTAGATATAACTGGTGTTAATAACAATAGTTTTATAAAATACAAGAGCTCGAAAGAGTCTGAAGTTGTGGAAGCACTTACATTGGGGATCTTGGTAAGGGTTCATGACAGATTCAACCCTAGCAGCCCTTCAAGTTTCCGAGACATCAAGGTAAATTTGAAATAAATTAAAAGAATTTCTTAAATTAACTTTAAAATTATTGAAATATCGATGTTTAAATTAGCAAGATACCACCTATTTTCGCTACATGTGAAATAATTTCAATGAGGTAAACATTTTAGATTGGTTTGTTTCTTTGTGGTGACTTTATAGGGATTATCTTTTAAAAACAACAGAAAAAAGGAGCAAAACTATGCCTGGAGTTAAGCTGTTATTTCTTCGTTATTTACTGATGTTTTATTTAAATTTGGCACAAGAATAATTCATTTTCTTAAAAAGTTTTAAAAAGAATATATGTCTTCTTCTTTATTTGCCGGGAAAAAGTTTAACAACCTACATTTTCATGCGCCTTTAATTTTGAAACAATCGATATTGTTATATATAATATTTTACCATAATACCTATTAGCCATCTAAAGCATAGATCAGCTTGGACTTAGTTTCAGTTTTGGACACCCAATAAGCCCAACATACCCTTAGATAGATACCTGGAATATTCTAACGGGCGACCTGCCGGAAACGGATGAACAAAGTAAGAAATCAAGTTTAAAACGTCCCGCTGCCGCTTTGCTACATCGTTCCGACCGCGTGACACCCGAATCCAGGGTGGGGGGGAGGGGGAGGGGGTGGAGTGCATGTTACATGCTACCTGGTTGCATTTACCTGGCGCCGTCGCGAAATTCAATTACTCGTGCACCATAAACCGATTAACTTATATAAATATTTATATCGCTGAAATGCAGTCGGTCGCCAATGGCTTTATGGGTCGCAGCCTGTCCGTTCGAAGGGCGTTCCCGGTGGGGCGAGGGGCGTGGCCTATCTGTGGGTGTGTCCCTGCATATGCAAACAGTTTTCGAGCGAGGAGCCGGGGTCGTCGGTCATTCGGAGAAATGGAGCTGCGGCGGCAATAATTTCATTTGCATTTGCATTTGTTGCCGTTTATGGTCCACTCAAGTGATGTCAGTTGACCGGCCCGCCCACTTCCCCTCCGCCCTGCGGTTCACTTTCCAAGTGTTTAATGATAACACGCTAGGTGTCATCCACAGGCAAGTGCTCTCGAGGCCAGGACACAGCAGATCTGAACAGAACAGAACAGAACAGAACAGAAACAGCCGGCGACACGGCCCGGAAGGCATATCATTACAATCCCGGCGTGTGCGGGTCACTGCAGTTGCAGTAAAGTTTTCGAAGCACTGCGAGAAAACCCCATTGAAGTTAAAGGAATTTTACCTACTTTCTGTCCCATTTATCAGAGATTTAAAGCCACTTCAGTTCACTATTAACTTAGAATCATCAACCAGAAAGTTGGATACCTTTCCAAAGAGTCTCGTTTCTCGCTGTGCAGCTTTAAGGTTGTTTGTAGGTGGCAAGTGGCAAGTACTTGTCTCCATAAATAGTTGCTAAACAGCGATGGGCCCGTGTAAGTGCCTGATGAGAGCGTGCCCCGAAGAGACTGCATCCTCAACCCCAGTAACTGCACAATGACTGAACGAGGAAGGGACGAGGACGAGGACAGGGCCAGTCAAGGGTTAATCTCGAGTCAAGTGATGCACTCGACCTCCACTGGTGTCTGGTTAATTGAGTTACGCAGATGGGCGCAGTTCAAGGCGAACTTCGATTGCCCCCGGGCTTCGGTTTATTGGGGTCGAGTTATGAGGTCTGCGGCACATGATGTGGCACATGATGTGTGCTGTGTGGTGTGAATTAATCGCATGACTTATGCAGCCACTTAGGATTCCTGCATGTCTAATGGGCTTTCAGTTAACAGCAACGATGCACCAGTCTGTTTAACAATTATGACTGTGTGGTCTGATTTGTCCTCTGCCGAACGCCTGCGATTGTCATTAAGCTGGTTAGATTAATTGATAGAGAAATTGGTCACAATAGGAAATATGAAAGCTGTCTTTTCATTTATTAAACTCTCACTTTTGAGACATAGATTGAAAATCAATTAAATCAATTTTAGGGCACTTAGAAAGAAGTTTAACTATTCCATTACCTTAAGAAAGTAAAAGGCATCAGCAACTGCAACTAAGTAGTTTTAGTCCATGACTTCTCTAACCCCCAATGTTCCAGTTTCCATAAAAAAAAAAACAAGTTATACCAACTTATTAGCTTACCATTGCATTGCCCAAATAATGACTTGGCTTCCTATCAGCGCACTCTTTTCGAACCTTAGATAAGGATATATTCAACGCATTGGAGGGGAAAACCTTCATATGAACTTAATGCCCCATTTTAAAAATTCAATTACCTTCCCGTCATGCAAATACCCATCGATAAATTATTCAGCGCAAATCAGGATGTGTTGGGTTAAGGCAGCCGAATTTGAGAACTTCATGAAAAATTCAATTCGTCAGCTTTGTGTATTTAACGTTACGTAACATTTTTAGATTGTGGAAGGATCCTTTCAGCACTCTGCCGTGTCGCCACGTCCCTCTCCTGCGTGGTCTGAAATTCCTTAAAGTCTTGGTATCTGTAACTCCAGCTCAAGGTAGCCGGATGACTACATTCCCCAAAAGCGCTTGCACTCCACCCGGATGCTCATCAGGAATCGGTGCAGCCGCTGCCCTACCTCCAGGATGCGCATTCGTCTCTGAAGCCGCATAAGCTGCATGCGGCGCTGCATGATCATCAACTCCTGTCGAATCCGTATGATCTCCGCGTGCATCAGTTGCATCGTGGCCCGTGCATCCGCAATCTCATATTTTTTATTTTTCTTTTCGCTTTCTTTTTCATCTCCGTTTTTGCCTTCGTCGTCCTTGTCTTTCGGACCTTTTCCATCGGCGTCTTCAACTTTACCTGCAGCTCCACCTTGGTCGATGTCTTTATTTCCGTGCTCATCTTTATCCTCGCCGAAATCTGATTTTTTATCAACCTCATTTCCACCTCCAACTGTGTCTCCTTCTTCACCTTCGACCCTGTCTCCGACTGCGTTCCCATGCTCATCTATATCCTCGCCGAAAACCAGTTCCAGCTCTTCATTGTCGACGGCTGTTGAATGCTTGGCCATTGTGCAACGTCTGATTCTACACAGAGAGGAAACAAAATAGCATTTAGTTCGGTTGGTAAGTAAATTCTTTCTTTCTTTCCTATAAAAATATATAATTATTTATAATATCTGAAGTATTTATATCTGCTATGGGGATCATATAAAATTCTACATAAAAATAAACTTAAAAGGTTTATAGGCTTTAAATTTATAATATGATGGATAGGGACTAATGGAGCTGATTGATTTGGATCTACACAAATCCAGTGTTTTCCAGTGTGCGAATCTGCTGGCGACAGAAGCGGAAACTCGGAATAATTTATGCGTGCCACTGGGTGGCAAACTTCCATCTAATCGCTTAATTCCGTGTTGTAAAAACTTTGGGCCCAGCCAGCATGCCCAGCATTCCATATAGGAAACCTAGATTTGCGCAGCGAGTGAGTGCAACTTTTTCTAGTTGATTGACTAAAAAATTGAACATTTTCTCCGTATTTGGTTAAGACGTTCTAGACTTTTTTCCCAGCTAATGCCCTCGATTGGTTGTGAGCAATACTCAGTGATGCGTTGGTAAAATTTGCAAATCGTTTGGCCTAGTGGAAGAGCAGGCAAGGGGGAGGGCGGGAAAGTGGGAGCTACTTGAGGTGGCACAGACCGAAATTGCTTTTCCGCTCTTTGGGTCAGCCAAGCAGAAAAATGTCTGCCCTGCTGACGCTGCCAGCGAAGTTCGATTTCGCACTATCGATTGATTTGGTATTCATTGGGTTCGCTCGCTTGCCACAACTTTAAACGCTACAGCTACATGTCGCCGCAACTTAGTGCCTCTGTTCCCTTTGCCCAAATTGCACTGCACCCGAGCGACCCAGTTGCATTTTTGCTTCTTTTTCGGAACAAACGCAGCTCTGCTCTGTCTGAATCGTGAATTGCAAGCACGCCGTACACTGCGAGAATTCTGGATTTCTAGCTTTGAACCTTAAAGCTGACATGGGACAGAACCCTAAAGGGCGATAGGTTGAGATAGGAATTCGTCGAGTTATGGTAAAGCAGAATGATATTAAGATTGTAGTAAACCTTATCTCAATCATCGGATATCTTAAAGCAAGCTTATAATTTAAAAGTTAATAACCAATGGTTTCGGACCGTGCAGGGCAATTTGCTGCAACTCCACCATGACTGTGATGCTAATGATCGAGCCATCTCATCTGGAGACAAGGCCGAAGGCTTTTGTCAAAAGAATGTCAACTGGGTGGGCTTTCTTTCTAGGGGAAATTGCAGCAGTTTGGCTTATTTTTTTATTCGGCTCACCAGACTGCAAAGCAGGCCAACAGAGGCGACATCTAATGCAGAGAAAACGCCTCAGTTGCGGTGTTGTGGCTGCCAGCCGTGCGTATGCGTAATATTCGAGAAATGTCTCGCATTTCCTTCCAACCGAAATGTTCGACAAGCTGTCTTTTTGCGGGGGAGTGACTGTGTGTGTGTGTGTTTGCGTGACTGTTTGTTTTCTATTTGTGGCAAGGCACTTGGGGCTATTCCTGGATATTACGCAAACGACATGTTGCCAAGGCGAAAGATAAAGCCCCATTTTTGAGTCGTCCGAGCTTAGCGAGGATTCTACAGCTGATGATTGCGAAAAACAAAGTGGAGTATCGTTTCTCCTCAGAACTCACCTCCAACCTTTGATTCCAGATATAGATGACAGAGGAAACAGAGTCTCTGAACAAATGAATTTTTGCTACTAATAAGTAGAGGACTGTAAAAACAGCGACTGCTGACAGGCTAATTGAAAATCTATGCCACTAAGTGTAAGCCACTATTCCACTCCCACTCCCCTCCCGCCACGACCTCCGGCTGTCTGTGGATCGCTGTTGATACTCTGCTTGCCGGAATTGGCAACTTAATTATTTCAGCGGCACGTCGCCAGCGAATGGCGCTTAAGCCAAGCCTCCGACAGCTGAAAAAGCGTAGAGCAGACGGCAAAATAGAAAAGAAAAACGAATAAGAAAATGCTGGATGCGATATAAACAACGCTTGCAGCATGCAACTTCAGCAAGAGGCACAAAAAGCAGCAGAGGAACAACAGCTGCTATTGAGAATCTGTGCTCAAAGATAAAGTTGCCTGGCAAAAGGATTTAACTGCACAACTGGCGAAGGAAACAGTTCGAGAAAAACCTAGCCACGTCTCTCTATCTCTATCTCTGTACGTGTGTGTGTGTGTGACCCCATTAGCACCAGCCGACTCCTGCCACGCCCACTTACTATCCACCCCCCGAAGCAGAGCTAAGCCCCGCCAAAAGTCGAAAAAAGGAGACCCACTTGCGGCTTTATTCATGGACTTGATTCATTAGTAGACATTCACATGCCACCATTCCCATTTACTTGCAGCGGAGTTTCCCTCAGGGAAAATGCTAGTTTGTTTCGAGTTGCGAGAGAAAGTCTTAAAGAAGGTGTTGTCATCTAAAATTCTGCATTGTGATTCGGATGATAACTTTTAGTTGACTTAAGTTTTCTTCCAAATAAAGTCATTGTTGTAGGAAATGTTTAAATAATGAGATCACAGCTTCGATTGGATTGGATTTAGAAACTATTATTATGGTCCTGATCGTTGAATGTGTCCCTTTCTGAAAAGTTAAGGACTTAATTAAGGGAATACATTTACATACTTACTGTAGAAGATATACTCCTATAATACATGATATCACATACGAGGTGTGTTCAAAAAGTAAGGTGACTCTTCAAATTTCGCGAATTTCAAATTTTTCGATTATCGAAACCTTTTAGAAGTTATACGAGGTGTGTTCAAAAAGTAAGGTGACTTTTCAAATTTCAAATTTTTCAAATTTTTCGATTATCTTCAGTTTTGGGAACAAGAAAAAGTCACATGGGGCCAAATCCGGTGAATATGGTGGCTGAGGCATTATTGTGGTGTTGTTTTTGGCCAAAAAATCCAAATCCTTTGATCCATATTTTTCGATAGCAAAAAATCGCCGAGCTCGCAAAACAACTTGTAACTTTACGCCTCTCACAACCAAACAAAAGAGGATGTTCCATTGAAACTTGGTACAGATGTTAGGGAAGAGTGTACCAATATAACAAAACAAAAAAATCGATAATCGAAAAATTTGAAATTCGCGAAATTTGAAGAGTCACCTTACTTTTTGAACACACCTCGTATATTATCATTCTTCCTAAGTCATCAACTTTTGTTCGTATGCCTTCATATACCGACAACCTCTTTTATCCTTTTCCTTTTCTGGAAAATACAGCTAAACGTGATTTCGAGAACACAACCGATTGTATTCTTCGAGTTTTTCATTTTCCTCGAGCAATATCCACGCTCACTCTTTCCCAATGACTTTGGCAACTTTGACAGGGCGAAAGTAATTAATTTTCGGTAGCTAACTCAAAACGGCAAAGGGCGCACGAAGGAAAAAACTGAAAAAAGGCAACACGAAGGCGGCACAATTAACGCCTGCAACTTTAATTGCGTTTTAATGTGCATCAGGCCGCAGAGCAGCTGCCTGTTTGGATGGTTTCTCGATGGGTGGTTGGTTGGTTGGGTGTTTGGGGGGGGGGGTTAAGAGCACGGCTCGAATCCTAACGGGATGGGTGGTTCAACGTGCTCTGTCAACCGCAGGCGGTGGCTCAAAAGCGTAACAAGCATTTTGCCGCGCCTCAGCAACATGGCCGTCGTCCTGGCACTCTCACACGCTCACGCTCACAAAGGAGCAGAGACAAGCGCACACGTGAATTCGTCCTGTGACTGTGGGCTATGGACTGTGGACTATGGACTATGGACTATGGACTATGGGACTACGGGACCATGGGATGCTCCTGTGTGTGTGTGGTTGGGCCTGTGCCTGAGTGCCTGCCTCAAAAGCGGCTTAACAAACACACACGAACCAACATGTAGCCACAAAGCATCATGCACTCGAAGGAAAATCTACAGCTTAGAAGCAACTTCGATGTAAATTATTCAAAATCTTATTCTATTCTCATAAAATCTGTGAATTGCGATTTTTATTTATGACTTAACCCCTTAGGATGTATGATTAAAGTTAAGTAAAGGCAGCCTAAAAGTTTCCCAGTGTAGTGCCAGTGCCTCGAACCCCACTCCGGACATGGAAGCGGACACGGACCCGAAACCGTGCGCCTTCGTCTGGGCCAACTATTTACATGGCACCCATTATGTCCGGACTTGTAGCTGCGTCTTTTGTGTCCTGGCCGGCTCTGTTTCCCCTTCCTATAGCCCTTCCTAAGTGACGTGATTTAAATTTTTATGCCCTTTGAAATTTTCGTCGCCCCGCTTATCGCTGCGTGGAAGCAGCCATCTCTGCCCCCCGTCTGGTTCTCCTGGTCCGGGTATCCAGATCTGCTTCCGCCGGGAACGGGACAAATCACGTAATCTGCCCTCAGTGGGTCAAGCAGCAGAAGCGGCAGTAAACTGTGAACCGTAACCGTAATGTAGCAGCCCGTACGGAAGATACAAAGATACAAAGATACAAAGATACAAAGATACAAGTACAAGTAAGTAGACATAAAGATACACGACATGAAAACCACTGTCAACATGGAGTCAGACGCTGGTGATGTCAAGTGGGGGGCGACTTGCGGACTAGCACAGTTCCGGGCACATCGAGTGAGTCAAGGGTGCTCCTCCCGTCGAGAGTTTCGACCTGAAAATACTCTCTACTACAAATCGGCTTTGGGAACTAGTTTACTAGTCTGTGGGAAAATAGCTCAGGCATTTGTATTGGCAACTAACTAGGGGTAATATTGGGTAACATGATACAGCTATTACTTAATTGATTCTCCAAAGAAAAGGTTTCCCAAAACGCACGCACAACCAGCAGAAATTAGAGCTCTTGTTTCCAGCCAATTGAATGAATTTTCTTTGAAGGGAGCTCTTTTTTAGAAACTTCCCTCTGTAGAGCAGAACAAATTACTTATTTAATTTCCCATTAGGTTATAGAAATTGTTCCTTCATAGGTGAGCTTGGCTGAAAGGAACCTGCTTGTTCAATCGAAATAATTCCCCCTTGTC